TACCACCTTAACGAAGTTGAGGCGAAGTCTGGTACCATTGAGTCAACCCGTGAGGGTGGGGTGAGGAACAACCACTGTACCACCAGTGGGAAAGCCGGCAATCATGTGGTGACATGTGTGTTGTCCAGCGCCTGGGAAAAGACCCTTGAGAGGCAGTGGTGACCCAGGAGGGCTGTTACAAAATGTATTTAGGTGTCCAACTTCTTGATGTGACTTGTTTTGGAAGTGAAACTCATGCCATTAGTTTAGTTCATGTAATGAATTTTTCACAAACACCTAAATCACATCATTCGGTCGTCGGATGGAGAATCAGGGCACATCAGAAGTTCCCTAATTCTGCTGTCAAATGATAGCAGAATCTGCTGAATTTTCATGCAACACGCCATGGTGCATGGCACAAAGAGCAACATACTATGGCTGTAATGTGCACAAGCCACAACGCATTGCCCTGTATCACAGCACATGTTTTATTTTTCAACTAGTTTTGAATTCTTTTACTTCTCTAAGCTATCTCATGCTTCTAAAACTTTTTTTATTTTGATATAAAAGATTTTGATTGATTTAAACTCATTGTTATTTAGAAAATTTAGGATCCCTTAAATTTAGACTAAAACTTGGTAATCATTTTTATGTGTTAATCTTTTAATTACCATAAGTTTTAATGGTTAATTGTATTTAGTAGGGTGAGATTTTACACGTGCAGGGGTTGAATTGAATGACAATAGAACAAGAAAGAGAAGGTACTTGTGGCAGTGCGAACGATGCTCTCTAATAGACCCACATCAGCGACATTGAAGATTGAAGAGAAAGGATGGAGAACTCCAGTGGAATTCGAGAAGAGTTAAGGCTGAAGGTTTTGAAATCTCAAATCTATCTTGCTCTCTCAACTCATGTAAAAATGTGGAATTGGATTGGGGAAAAGGAAATAAATCTGATGGGATCAAGGACCTGATAGTAATTTTATAAAAGATGAAAAGTGAAAAAAAAATAACCCCACTATTATCTTTGTAGGAATCGAACCTGTAACCTTAGACTTGTTAACAAAGGTACTTGCCACTAAACCATTAGATTGGCTTGATAAATTACCCCAAAATATAAAAAAAATATAGTTAACCTACCTTGTCATTAATTTTGAATTTTTTTCTGAGTTATTACACCTAAAATTTTTAAAAAATACATTATGAATCTTAAACAATTAAAGTTAAAGCAATTTTACCCTCATAGTTAAATTTCAATAAGTGTTCTTTAAATTTTTAAAAATTAAGACCTAATGTGTGATTTTCATCAAATTCCACACTCCCTCTTGTAAATGACCTCAAAAGGGGGTGAATTGAGATAATTAAAAATTAAAGAAACTTTATATAATAACAAGTATATAGTAGGAATAAAATCACCAAGCACAAGAGATAAGAGAGGTGAGTTTTCCATAGATGATTTATCCTGATTCGATTCCTGCCACTTAAGTCAACATCTAATCCACAGGAACCTCATGAGATTTTCAACTATATCACCAAGATTAAGCTGGGCTCTTGGTTGCCTCAATACAAAGACAGGCTTCTTAATAAGTCTGAATCTCTTTCCCTTGCAAAGGTAACGTCAAATTTTATTAAACTCCCCGAGCTTAAGTTCCTCTGTTTTGAAAAAGTAAAATAAGGATAAATAGAATAAGTTTAAGAATGAACTACTGCTATTATAAACTCTCTTTAAAAGAGGATATGCAATCAATGAGGCTCACAGACAATAAATATTTATCATAAGGTTAGTAAAAATGAATGCGCAAATAGAGACAAAGTTTTGTTTTTGTTAGCTCTCTTCCATTTTGTGTCTCTAAGTTTCATAAATGAGTCTATTTATAGTTCAGAGTCATAAATAATTTGTTAAACTTCTATTGGAGATCACTTGTGTTTTGTCTTCTTCTTTTCTTTAAGTTTTCCTAGATAACTGAGCTTGTCTGAGTTTCTCCAGTAGATGAAGCAATGGAACAGTGCTTTATGATGGAGACCTCTCTTTACACAACGTGACAACTATAAATATTAAATACTCTAATAAAAGTAAATGAAGTTTATATACCAATGTAGCAAGATAGCTTAGGTGTTATGAACCAAGAAAATAAACATAACAAATCTGATTAAGGCAATAATTATGTTTAAATATAATTTAGTAAGGTTATAGTGAGAATAAATTTGGTTACAGATAAAAATAGTTAAGGAATGAGTTTCGAAAAGATTAAAAACACATAAAATAGAGCACAAAAGATTAAAGTAATACTGGTGTTATAGATGATAGCACTGGTGCTACAGAGAGGAAAAATGCTTTACAGAGATAATTAGTACAAGTGTTGCTATGATAGTATTGATGTTAAGCTTCTTCATAAATTACAAAGATTTTTATCAATTTTAAAGAAATAAGGAATTTAATTCAAGAAGCAAGCTAGCACGGGCATTAGAGAATATGACACTGGTGTTAAACATTCAATAAATAATCCCTACGAGACAAGTTGAGAAGCAGTATTGGTGTTATGCTATTAGTATAGGTGTTAAAACTCTTCAAAGACTTCCATTGGGATTGAACTGTTGTAACGATGGGGACCGAATGGTCAACTTTCACTAAAACCAAACTGACGATGACGACGAGCACTGGATGGCCGACTTCCACCGAGACCAGACCGATGGCTACAATGAGGATGGGGCAGTTGACTATCACTAAGATTGGACTGACGACAACAATGGGGATTAGACAGTTGACTTTTATCGAGATCGAACTTACGGCTACAACGGGGATAAGATGGTTAACTTTCACTAGGACTAGACTGACAACTACAACAAGCACCGAACAGTCAACTTCCACTGAGACTACATTAATGATGATGATGAGTATCGAACAACTGACTCCCACAAAAACCAAACTAACACTGATGATGAGGACAGCATGGCCAACTTCCACTGGGATTGGATCAACGCTAAAGAGGTGAGTTCGACTTCCACCGGCACCGAACCTGACCAATGACGATGGCAACCAGACTAAAAGGATGGTGACGGAAGGCAATCGTCCGGTCCTCGCCTTGTGGAGGTTGGACTTTTATTCCTCGTAATTACCATAGGTTCGATCTCGGTGGAAGTCAGCCATCCAGTTCCTATCATCATCATCGATCTTGTGTCAGTAGAAGTTGGCTATCCGGTCCTCATCATCTTCATCGATCCGGTCCTAATGAAAGTTTACCATCCGGCCCTGTCATAGTCGTCGGTCTGATCCTAGTGGAAGTCAGCCCTCCGATCACTGCCATTGCTATCGATCCAATCTAAGTAGAAGTCGGCTGTTTGGTCCCCATTGATCCGATCCAAGTAGAAGTTGGTTATTCAGTCCTTATCGTCGCTATCAGTCCGATGCCTATGGAAGTTGGCAGTTCAGTCCCTGTCGTCACTGTCAGTTCGGTGCCTATGTAAGTCGATAATTTAGTCCCTGTCATCACCGTCAGTCTAGTCCTAGTGAAAGTCGGCCATCCGATTGCCATCAATTTGATCCTGTTAGAAGTTGACAGTTTGGTCCCCATTGTTGTCGTCGATCCGATCTCAACGAAAGTCGACAGTTCAATCCCTGTTGATCTGATGTCGGTGGAAGTCAGCAGTCTATTCCCCATCATTACTGTCGATCTAGTCCTGTAGAACTCGGTCGTCCGGTCTTTATCGTCGCTATCGGTTTAGTCCTAGTAGAAGTCGGCCGTCTCGTCCCAGTCAATGATGGTAACTTATTTCTGTCAACTTTGGTGGTTCGGTCCAATTATTGTTGGCAGGTCAATCAAGCCTTCATACATTTTTGGTCTAATTACAAAAGAGTTTGAATTAGGATTTGAAATAATAAAGGTTTAGAAAGAATTTTAAATTATAAAGAAATTAAGAGAGAACTTGAATTTCGATTTGGGTCAAATCCCAAATCTAAATTTATATATTTTTAATTATTCAGACAATGAATTTGACTCAAATTCAAATATAAATCCAATTCTATATGTATCCAAATATAGCATAAAGTATTCAAGAGATTTATAGTTAAGTTAAATACTTAACTAAAATATAAGATAAAATTTCTATCACATGGTTTATAGAAGCTATTACTTAAGTCAGTTTTGTTTCAGTGTTTAACCAATTGATTTTAATTTTGATTAGATAGCCTATAAAGTATAATTTTTTTTATTTTGTAATCATCAAAATCATGATTCAACACCTTTCTCCGATTCTAATTTAGTGAAAATCACACATTCAGCCCCATTTTAATGAATGTTTGTTTAAATCTAATGGTAGCGGCGAAAGTACCTCAACTTTCATTATTTAAGATTTAAAATATAACTTTTAAAAGTTTAGAGTTTAAATTGCTCATGAATTTATAATTCAAAGTTTAAATTGTATATTATCCTTAAAAAGTAATTAAAGGTACCAACAAGAGTTGGGTTTAGTGAAAAAAGATAATTTCTCAAAATGTGATGAATTAATATTTAAATTTTTATTAAAAAAATGCTCACATTTAGTTTCTTACTCTACCGTAAACAAAATTGCTTCCAACATAGTATCTATATATCACGTGAAACACTCCCCAAACGAGAGGATTTGTGTAACATCCCAATTTAAATTTTAATAGTTAATTTGGGTTAATAAAAATTTTGAAAAGTATTATTAAATTATTATTATAAAAAAAAGGTATGAAAAAAAAATAAATAAAATAAAAAAAATAAATAAAAATAAAAAAAATAATAATAATAAATAAAAAAAATAAAATATTATTAAATTATTATTATTATAATAATAAAAAGAAAGAAAGGAAAAGAAAGGAAGAAGAAGAAGAAAACGAATTTGCTTCGTCCGCCGCCTCAACAGTAACAATAATAAAATAATAATAAAAAGAAAAGAAGAAGAAGAGAGAGAAAGTAATTAAAAAAAATGTGGGACCCACTGAATTTTATAAAAACTCACCTGTTCCTTCATTTCTTCATTCCTTCTTTCGTGCGTGAGCTTCGGCAGAGAGAGCATCTGTGAGCCAAATTCACCGGTGCTGGGTTTTAAGGTAAGAGTTTTTAATAGGATATTTAGGGTGTGATTTTAAGCTTTTCAAGACTAAGTAAGTATTCTAAAAATTTTTCTTAGTCATCCTTCTTCTTTGGTTTCTGAGTTTGTAGTGGTAGAAAATTTAACATCTGGAAGAGGGATGAATTTATGTTGAATAAATATGGTTTTTGAGGTTGTCAGTAGTATAATGAATGTTATAGAGTATAAATTTGTTAATGATCTTTGAATTTATGGCTTATGGATAAAATTCTAGACTAGATCTGAAAATATATGTTGATTTATTGAGGTTTAGATGATTATTTGGGATGAGAAATGAATTATTATGGCTATAGGATTATGATTCTAAGCTAGAGACTTAATTTTTAATTTTTGAGTATTTTAGGTGCGAATTTATAAAATAAAAAGAAAATATTGATAATTAAAAGAGGAGTTAAAAATTATACTTAATAGTATTAACTATAGATTTGTATTAAGATTGAGATTAGGAATTATGTTATATTTTTAATTCTATTATTAGAATTATTTTATTAGTTTCAAAAATTGAAACTAATATTTATAAATAATATGTTATTTTGTAGATTGTATTACTGGTGAAGATTGTGGTGAGAGAGAAATTTTAAGGAATAATTTATTGAAAAAGCCACAAGGTAACCATGCTTTTAATTTGTGATTAGTGTTACTTCTTGTTAATTGGGTGATTATTGAGAAAATTATGAATTTTGTAATATTGTATAATTGTGCAATATTATTATGAATTTGTTTAATTATTGTGGGAGGTGTTGGGAGACTTGCTATTGTTGTTGTATTTATGTGCCACGTGGTACGCCCCTATTGGAGCTCAATAGGTGGTTTGTAAGGGCTCGGGCTAATCTACCTTTAGCCGGATAATTTAGTACCGAGTGAGGGCTACGGCTCGAGGTTAATGGAGGGATATAAGGATGGTTGTTTGTGTTTATTATAATATTTCTTATATTTGTTAGAATTATATTATTTTTAATTCTCACTTAGTAAGCACACACTTAACTGTTTGTATACACTATCATAAATTGGCTTTGGTTACTGGGACTTTTGAGTCTCATTATGTGGTTAACAATTTTCAGGAGAAGAGCCAAGAGTGACACGTGGAGGAGTCCCAGAGGCTTAGTGGTATAGATCCACTGTCTCTTTTGGGTATTTAATTTATGATTTATAATGTGTTATATTGCCAATATTAGGACTTTTTTATGTTTATTGTCAATTATATGAATATATAAATGTAATCATGCCTTTCAAACTATTTCTATTTTTGGTACAATTTGGATGACTGTAATTTTAATATTTGGTTTACTTTGGATTGGTTAAAATGGCATGATTATAAGGCCAAATAACTGGCTTGTGTTGAAAATTGACTAAATTGCTTATTTTACTTGTTGGGAGTATAAGGATGGACAAATGTGATTTAGTTTACTTGTTGGGAGTATAAGGATGGACAAATGTGATTTAGCCTAATGGCATGTGGGAGGTAAAAATTTATCTGAAATGTTATAGTGTGTAAGTTGAAGCCAATTATAAAATATTTTATATTGAAATTATTGATATAAAAATGTGTTGGGTGTCTGTAACCCAACTATGGTTGAGTTAAATTATTTAAAAAAAAAATTTGGTGTGTTACAATTTGAAACTCTCCCAGATCAACCAACAAACGAGGATTCCAATTTTTCGATGACTGTTAATGTTAATGACGTAAGCAATGCTTTTTTCACATCATTTAAACGCCACGTTTGATTCGAGTTCACAAACGTTGGCCCTCGGCCAACTCGTGGGGAATAAAACTGGGGCAAGGCTTGATCTACTTTTTGTGACCAATGGAAGTGAGAAAATGATACTTTTAAAAAATACTACTAAAGAACATCTCTAAAAAATTTTGTAATAGGTTATAACAAAAATTAATATATTTAATTAAAATACTCTCATTTATTAATTTTTTTACAACTCATCCTCATGGATAATTTTACTGGAGGATTTCTTATTTTCTGCTAACTTGATTTCTTTTCAATATATAGATTAAAAAAAAGAAATCCATTATTTTCTTATCTAAAATAGTAAAAATATGATTAATAGAATCTGATAAGAAAATCTTAAACCAACACAGAAATTTCAGTTTCTTCTAACTATCTTAAATTCGTCAAAGCTCATTATTTTTTCTTTTTTATCATGATTGGCTTTTTTCTCAAAGTTGCATTGAGATTTTGTACTATTAGCAGCTGTAAAATCTAAACCAATATGATTGATTTTCTTAACTCTATAGTTTCCTTTTTTTTTTTTGCTGTTTTCTTTTGAATTGATTGTTAAACATTTAGGCAACTCTATTTTTTTTTAATTCATGTGTATCAGATGAGGATGATGACATATTCAATGAATCCATATTTAAATACATTGTGGATTGCAGCAATAAGTTTAAGATATTGCTAAAGAAAAGGAACAAGGTGAGGAGGAGGATGCAGATATATTGGTGAAGATAAAACAAAGGACTTCATTACCCGTAAGAAAGGCAGAAGTATTGTTTTGTCCAAAAAAAAAAATGCTAATGAGATATTTTCTAGCTAAATTTTACTTATTCGTTGCTATAGATGATTTATTATTACATAATTCACGTAATGGCTATATATTATTACATATTTTATCATATTTTATAGGCGAATCTGAGGAGAAAGAAAATTAGGAAGATGCAAGGAGTACTTTTGCTTTTGTAAGACATATTCATGCATTGCTACAATCTCGATAGCAAAGTCCGTAACTACATGAATATAAATAGAATCCAGACTTGAAGATATTCGAGCCTGTTCTTTCCCACAAATATATGATAAAGTGATGATTGAGTTGGAGGAGCCTGATATGATAGGAAGAATGTTATATGTAGTAGGTATTATGAGATCACTAGTGAAAACATTAAAAAATAAGCAAACATCTTATGATTTATCTCATAGGACTGAACTAATGATATTATCGAAATTGCTAGACTCTTTATTATAAGAAATTGGATTATTCCTCTTAATTTTTTATCAGAGAAACAATTATCTCATAGGATTAGGGGTGATTTTTGTACTTATAATCATCCCCTACCTCTGTCAAAAGGTGGTAAATGATGATAGGATGGCTGCTCTTTGTACTCATTAAAAAAAAAAAATTGAAACGGCTTAATGTTTTTCAGTTTCCAATCACATGTTATGAAGTAACTAAATGTATTTAACTATAATGGAATACAAATAATATATGTTGCGATTATAGGCGCCAAATATGTGAACTATCCGTCCTAAATCTATCATTATAATTATCCCGGGATGCTCTACACTTAAAAGTTAAAACTAGTTACATTTAAATAATGTTGGTTTTATTTTGAAAGCTAATATAAAATAAAATGTGAAGCAATTTCCTTTTTTAATTTCGGGAAAAGAAGCCTCGTTCGTGTGACGGAGACACCGTGTCGCCATTCGTTGGGACAATTTATTACAAGGCGGGGAGTGAAAAAGCCCAGATCCGCAATAACGAATGCGTCAATCTTGACCGTTTATTTTGCCTCTCCTGAAAATCGAAAGGTGACGATTCCAGGAAATTGCTTACATCCCCGCGACGAAACTAACAACGTGCGGGGTTTCCTTCCTCTTTCTGTTATTCTTCCCGCAAATCGGATTTTCCTTTGTCGCGAAGTCGACTCTCTTTCTCTTGATTGTTTTCCCTACCTGCAATTCCGCCGATGCAAGAAACAGAACTTCACGATTTGTCCGACGACGCCGATTACGCTGCGTCGCAGCAACAGGTAACACCGTTGCCAATTTAGTTCCGAATGTGTCGCTTTCTTCCATGGAATTGGATTCGGTTAGGTTTAGGTGATTCGTTTGAATCTGTTCGAATCTACGCTTTTTTTTTTAAGGGATTATCACAAATTTAACTGGGTCAAGGAATTTTGTCGGTTTTATTGATTTGGATTAGGCATCATCCAGCATATTGCTGCGGAGCGACAGTAGTAAACAGAGCTCAAATAGTGAGCCAGACAGCGCCCAGCTAGTTTTTACGAAGGACAATGTCGCAATTCATCCGACTCAATTTGCTTCCGAAAGGATTAGTGGAAGACTGAAGTTGATTAAGCAAGGCTCTTCTCTGTTTATGGTATCCATTGATTGTTTTATTTTTTTTTTTTTTCCTTTTGGGGGAATGCAGTGTTTTTTTATGGAAATATCCATCTTCTCTTCGTTGTAGTCATGGATACCTTATACAGCGAACAATTCGAATGCCATGCTGTCTGAGAAAGGTAGTTCGCATTCGGACTTTGATATTTTGCCTGTATAGCTATCGTTCCATATATGCTGAAATTTATTCCTTTCTTATGTAGACAGAAACCTTTACACCATAAGGGCGGTGCCCTTTACTGACATCAGGTCCATTCGAAGACATACTCCTCCACTTGGGTGGCAATACATCATTGCTGTTTTGTCATCAGGTAAAGTAGAGCGTATGAACTACACAGATTTTATCATCTTTTTTTCGTATCCTTTCCCTGCGATCACTGTTTCATTCTCAAGTGTTGCGTATCATATTGACACTCGTCCATGGACGCTGTACCGTGGGATCGTTATCCATCCAGTTTGGATTTTAACACTCTGATAGTACATAAATGTTTTATTACAAAGATGTGGAGTTAATTATCTTATTCCAGCCATAATGGGGAGAAAATACACGGATTTATCTTTTTTCTTAATTGTAATAGATGCGATCACTTTGTTGGTGAAGGCATCTAATGTGGCAGGTTACAATTTCTCGCATTCAATGTGCAAGTTAGCAGAAACTAGAAAAGCAACCATTCTCTAAATAAATGAATCCATCATGGATGGCCTGTTCATTGACTCTGAATTTTATAAAATTAATGACATGGGTGTAATGAAGTACTTTTTTATTTTTTTTCCAAGATAAAGACTAGGTACTTTTTAATAAAACAATATAATTTTTTTATTTATTCTTATATTCAACTTTAGTAATGCTTAATTTATAACAATTGAAGTGTGTTGACTTAATTTGGTACTTTTACCAAGCTCTGCCATTTAAGACTTTCCTTTGTCTTTTCACATATATCATTGAATTTTAAAATGGTTCTGAAATATTTCTTCCTTTGTTGATGATAGATGAAATATCTAGCCAGTTTTTTCAAAGGGAACAGTGTCACAGTCGATCGGTCATGCATGCATGGTACAGATACATATTTTTTGCATTTCCACAAGAATATGGAAATAAATTTGCCACATCTATGCTTCCTGGATCTACAAGTACTTCATTTTTCATTAGTAATGATTTTTATTTTGCCAAGATCAGAAAATCTTCAACCAAATATTGTTCTCACATTAAGCATTCATATTTCCCTTTTCCTTTAATGATCTTATGATAAAATTTTATTGACCAAAAACATTTAGTTTTATTTTCAAATTGCCTGTTTACTCTTTGCATTTACCTTCAACTGTGCAAAATTGTTGGTTACCTATATACTTTCTCTCTTGAAGTCTCATTTGGCTCAGGCATGATTTTTTTCAGATATGCTTGTTATTCTAGTCGTATTTTTAACCAATATTTATCTGATCAGCAAGATCTTTGCGTCTGGCTGGCACTATTATTTTGTATGACTCAGTCTGTATCATGTTTTGTACTTTTTTTTTCCTTTTTTTTTTGGGGGGGGGTGCATGCTTTGCAGGACTTGCATACCCACCTCTGTACTTTTACAATGGAGGAGTCAGAGAATTTCTTGCTACAATAAAGCAACATGTTCTTCTTGTAAGGTTAGTTTCTGGATTTGTGTCTTAAATTTTCTTTTCTTCTAACTCGCTTATTGATGATGCAATTACTGGTCTCTTCATGATATATTTGAAAATTTCAAATGTACCTTTTAATTGAGAAAGGATGAACTTCATGAGGTTTATCCCCAAGGCCTTTTGAATTCAATTATTTGAAGCCTATTACTTGTTCTTATCTAATCAACGAACACTTGTAGTTATTTTCTGTTTCTGGGTAGCATTTTTCTCAGCTAATGGTTTGTAGAGTGTTTATCTTGGTTTCATGATTAAAAGGGCAGATATGCTGAATATGTGTAGAGAACTTGTTCCTATAGTCCATATGGCAATTTAGTGATTTAATGCGAAACATTGTTTTAAATAATGTAATTTTATTGACTAAATTGCCATGTAGGCTATAGAAACAATGCATAGAGAACTCGTTCCTATAACCAATTAACCTTTCACATTGAGTTCTTTCTTTTAATTGACATCTATGATTCTTAAATATTGATTTGAAAAATGTTTTAAATCCCTTACAAAGTCTCTTGCAGGCTAAATTTGTAGCTGAATACTTGAGCTATTTTATGATTATTGTTTATGCAAATCAAACATTTTAAAAGTGTTTGGCTGTGAGGCATATGGGCATGATGCTATTTTATCAGTAAAAAAATTAATGCAATTTATATGCTTCTAAATTCATTTCCTTTTTGTTGTCATTAATGGCTAAGAGGTCCAAAAAAATGTAGCTAAATAATATTTTAAAAATGTTTCAATTTTGATATAGTTTGAGTGCCATTTTCAGGCAGATATATTTTCAACCTCCTTTTTTCTTGTTATGCTATATTTTCCAGATCTGCAGAAGACACGAATGTGTTCATTGTGAATGATTTAAAGAATCCTCTGCAGGTATGTGGGATGCGTGCAAAGTTGTTTGATTGGTTTTAGCAACTTGGTTGTTTATGTAGAGTGTCCCTAGCAATATTATTGTTGTTATATGCAGGAAAGTACACATAACTAGTGAGTCTCATAATTATGAGTTAATATCCCTATTTTATTCTGATTATCAGAATATTTGATGGATAGCTCATAAAAATGTCATCCTCTTGAAATTTTTAAACTTATAAAAGCTCACATGCAGTTATGCTTTTGCTCTGCTCTTTTAGTCTGTGATTAGTGCGCTAGTCTGCTTTCAAAAGGAAGATGTAGGCAGAAAGTTTAGAAGAAATTAAGAGCTTACATTTGGTATTTATCTTTAGGTCTCTAAAATGTTTTGTGATATATATGTATATATATATTTGATTTTCGCGCCCCTTTTATTTTGGCTTTCTTATTTTTCTATTTCTTGGATTGACTTCCAGAGGACATTGTCGTCATTGGAGATGCCCAGGGCTGTTTCTATTGCTTGTGAACCTTCAAATATATCAGCTAATGAGTCAACTTTGAATGAGAACCAAGAGAGGACTGATAGCGGTGCCAGTGATGGACATGCTGCTGTTTCTCAATATCATGGAAGATCAAGACATAGAGTTAATGATCCTGCCAGAGATATTTCTATTCAAGTTTTGGAGAAGTTCTCTCTTGTGACCAAATTTGCCCGTGAGACAACTTCACAACTCTTCAGTGATCAGAGTAATGGATTTGGTGCCATTGAGAGAAGTTTTGATGAGACTCCTTTTGATCATCACAACAAGTCTTCCAGTATAGGAGAAAAAATTCCTGATGAAAGTCCTGTTCCCTCAGATCCTCTGGAGGTAACCCTCCCTTCTGTGGGTGCTATTGCTACTATATTAAATGTTAACCACTCCCAATGGTTATCCACCACATATTCTGTCTGAGCTGGTTACCTTGTTTGGTACATTTTATGGGCTGGAAGGAATTTAGTAGTAAGCTTTTATTCTCCTTTCTGATTGTGAGTTACCTTGTGCTTGCAAGTAACACTTGCTATGCTGTGTTGCCAGACATACTTCAGAGTCTATAATTTAGAATAAGTGTATTTTTCATCCCGCCAAAATTTAAAATTTATCAACACAATAGCATTTGGAGGTATAAAAGGTGTGCAGATCTATCACTCTCCCATGTGAAAAAAATGTGCATGTAATAATTCTATCTGAATGTAAGGTGACAGGGATGCTATGGAAAAATGTTCCTACTATGTTAATTTCTTGTCCATGTGGTGCTTTTGTGGCTCCTCCCAATCTGTAAGATCAGATACTACTCATGATTTATTTTGGTTGTTGGGGGCGTTGCTTTGATGGTTCATTTTGAGCATGCATACCAAGAGACTTATTTTACTATACATCTCATGTTTTTATACTTCAACAGGTGAATTTTGTTTTCCCCATTTTTCTTCCTCTTTACACCTAGCAATATCAATATCATTTTTTTGTTTCCCTCTACATGTAGTTTGATAAATTATCACAAGTATGGGGAAAACCACGGCAACTGCCTTTAGGTTATGATGAGGTGAGTTTTGATTTTCACTTTTTCTGTAATGTTTTTTTTTTTTCCTGTTGTTAATGCTTCTGTCAAGTTTAAGCAATGAATTTGTTGTGCAAATGCTCTCTGATCATGATCATCAATGTGTTTATACAATTCTTCTGTTTTTTATATGGATGAAATTATATGTAATAAAAAGCAATAAAGTGAAAAGTATTTATCAAGATACCATAATAGACTGGCTTGCTGAGAAATTTGGAGTCTGTGATTCCACATTCATGGATTTAGTCTAAGTTTTCATGCCCTAGTATTTCATGCAACTCGAGTCTTGGGGCCTATGGTTCCAAGCTCTTCCGACTTAGAGCCATAGGTTCTAAAATTGTGTCAACGTACTCTGGATCTTATTTATTTAGGTTTTTTAATTCTGCTAAAGCATTACCATCCAAAATAAGAGCATTCTAAAGTGGCAAAATGTTGCTTGTTGAACTGCTTGTGGCGGGTCTCATTTTTGCAGTGGGTTGGGTTCTTGGATTCTGAAGGGCGAGTAACAGATTCAGAAGCTTTAAGAAGGAGAATATTTTATGGAGGACTTGACCATGAGTTGCGGAATGAGGTCTGTGTTTAATAATATTTGTGATGATGTCCATCAGAGTAAATTTTTTGAAATTGGTCTCGCTCTTCCCTTACAAATCCTTATAAGAACGATAGGTTTGGGGATTTCTGTTGGGGTACTATTCATATGATTCAACATATGCTGAGAGGGAATATCTGAAGTCAGTCAAGAAGTCGGAGTACGAGACTATAAAGAGCCAGTGGCAGGTTTCCTCTTCTCCATGCCTTTTATATGCATCATTTTTAATATCTTACTGGGAATTAATAATAATTTGTTTATGCTCTTTTCTCTGTAGAGTATCCTCCCAGCACAGGCTAGAAGATTCACAAAATTCAGAGAGAGGAAAGGCCTAATTGACAAAGATGTGGTATGCTGGAAGCTAGTTCAGATGTTTATGAATTATCAAAAAGATTACATAACAGCAGTTGGATGGTGCACATGTAGTTTAACTGTCTTTTATTTTTGAAGGTGAGGACTGACAGAATTCTTGCTTTCTATGATGGGGATGATAATCCAAATGTGAATGTTCTACGGGATATCCTGTTGACTTATTCATTCTACAACTTTGACCTCGGTTATTGTCAGGTACTTATCAATGTGATGCATTGAACACCAGAATTTTGCTTCATGTTTTTTCCTTTAAAATGTTGGGATCTAAGAATCAATGACGGCTTCTCTTATCTATTCCTGTGCTTGGTTATCCTGGATGTTAAATAATTGATTAAGCAAAGAATTGTTCTCTGCAGCCAGGGTAGGAATATGTTAATAGCTAACATCTTTCTGCACCAAAGTAATTTATGGTACCACAAATCAAGAGTTGAGGTCCCTCATTTTTCCAACTTCCCATTACCATCCCTCCCCAATCTGACCCTGAAATTGGGGGGAAAAGGAAAGGTTAATAATTGAGAATTGACATTCCATATGTTTAGGCAATCTTATATTTGTTATCGTACAGGGTATGAGTGATCTTCTTTCCCCGATATATTTTGTAATGGGTGACGAATCAGAGGCATTTTGGTGTTTCGTAGCGCTTATGGAGCGTCTTGGACCCAACTTCAATCGTGATCAAAATGGCATGCATTCTCAACTTTTTGCATTATCTAAGGTTTACTCTCTCTCTCTCTCTCTCTCTCTCTCTCTACTTTTTGTGTGAGAACTTTCTTTTGATGCAGCAAGATGTTTCCTCTACAGTAGATTTCATGTGCTTATTTATTTGCTTGCCCATCAATTGCATCCCAACAATTGAATTGCAATTGTAGGTACCTCGTTGAGAGAACCATGCATTACCTGAATTAAGAAAAGGAAAGGAACATACAAATATGTTATAAATACAAATATTTCACAAATTGGAAAGCATAACTAGTGGATTTTCTCCCCATGAACTCCTTTCTAATTTAGATTTCCTCTGATTGTCAAAATTAATGAGACTTTTTTGATGGGATGGCAAAATCATTGCTGGCATGATTGTCTTACAAGTATGGTATCCTTTTATAAACAAAAACACTGCACGTTTTGTTCCATTATCACATCCCTTGTGTCACTGAGGTCTGCTTTGAACCTCAATGTGATGGTGAAACTAATGACTACTATTTCACACTCGACGTCTCTTAAATCTCTGATCATGCATCCCAGAAAATATGAGCCGCATCTCTGATCTAAATATAAATATGCCCTTTTTTTATTATAGAGATGTTATTAATCAAGTTGTTGTTATCCAGTTCAATGTGTTTCACAAACATTAGCATTGAGAGAGAAGTTGATAACTGAAACATAATGTTTCTGCAACTTAATTGTGCACCATTCTTCGAGAACTAAAAGCATAAATACAAGCTGGAACTGATAATCTATGTCTGCAACTTATTTAGAGCCTTGCATGTTATAAAGAGTCATCTGGTAAAATGTAAATCAAATCATACAAGAAGCTTTCATCATTGAAGCTGGGACTGATGATCTATGTCTGATAGTTTATCTATTTATCATCCTGTCATCAGTTTTGGACCAACACTGACAAAAGACATTTCTGTTGGGGACCTGTTACTAAGATGTATTCTTGTCAGTTTCCCTTGGCATTTCTGATTAATATTATAATTCTTTTTTGCAGTTGGTAGAGTTACTGGATAGTCCATTGCATAAATATTTTGAGCAGCAATGACTGCTTGAATTATTTCTTTGTTTCCGCTGGGTATGATTCAATTTAAAAGGTCAGATTCCTTGAATCGCTGTCTTGGATCCGTAATTTCAGGCTATGTCTGAACTTAATAGTGTATTCCTCTAGATTGTTAAATGTATTTTTCTTCCTTCTCATTTGGCCAATTGAACTTAGTTTGGCAGTTCACAGCAATGAGAAGTCTGTTGGACTGTCTTTGATAACAAAATATAGCAAGTAGTATTACATACTC